CTGCCGCCAATGCCCCGTAGGCTCCTAGGAAATATGCCAACCGTTTTCCCGGCCCCAAAAGGAAGTCCCTCCTCCGGAATTCCCTCCTACCGCACTTCCCCAGATTGTACAGTATTCCATCATTGTTCTCTTCTGCCCCTCCACTGATTTGCTCCTGTTAAAGTCATCCTGACCTTCTTCCCAAACCCATGGACACATTACACATTTCTGTTTTCATCCAGCTTCACTATTCTTTCCCACCCCCTTCCTTTCCCCTCCCACCCCTTTGCCCCATCTAAAATTCCTCCATTCCTCCCACGCTCCCCCCACCCATCACCATTATGAGTCAGCATCCTCATATCAAAGAAAACATTCGGCCTTTGGTTTGGGGGGATTGGCTTTATTCACTTAGCATTATATTCTCCAACTTCAACTATTTACCTGCAAATGCCATGATTTCATTCTCTTTTAATGCTGAGTAATGTTCCATTGTGTATGTATACCAAAGTTTCTCTATCCATTCATCTACTGAAGGACATCTAGGTTGGTTCTAAAATTTAGCTATTGTGAATTGTGCTGCTATCAACATTGATATGGCTGTGTCCAAGGAGTGGGATAGTGGGTCAAATGGTGGTTCCATTCCCAGTTTTCCAAGGAATCTCCATACTGCTTTCCATATTGGCTGCACCAATTTGCAGTCCTACCAGCAACATGTGAGTGTGCCTTTTCCCCCACACTCTCGCCAACACTTATTGTTGTTTGTATTCTTAATAGCTGCCATTCTGACTGGAGTGAGATGAAATCTTAGAGTAGTTTTGATTTGCATTTCTCTGATTGCTAGAGATGTTGAACATTCTTTCATATGTTTGTTGATTGATTATAGATCCTCTTCTGAGAAGTGTCCAGTTCCTTGGCCCATTTATTGATTGGGTTATTTGTTGTTGTTTGTTTGTTTTTGGAGTTTAGCTTTTTGAGTTCTTTATATACCCTAGAGATTAGTGCTCTATCTGATGTGCTTGTGGTAAAGATTTGCTCCCATTCTGTAGGTTCTCTATTCACCTCACTGATTGTTTCTTTTGCTGAGAAGAAGGTTTTTAGTTTGAATCCATCCCATTTATTGATTCTTGGTTTTAATTCTTGCAATACAAGAGTTTTATTAAGAAAGTTGGTGCCTAATCCAACATGATAGAGATTTGGTCCTACTTTTTCTTCCATTAGGTTTAATTCCTAAGTCCTTAATCCACTTTGAGTTGAGTTTTGTGCATGGTGAGAATAGCTGGATATAAAATCAGCACCATAAATCAAAGGCATTTTTGTACATCAGTCAATTCTGCTGAAAGTGAAACTAGGAAAACCACCCCATTTACAATAGCCTCAAAAAAAAAAAAATAAGATACAAATTTAACAAAAGAGGTGAAAGACCTCCACAATGAAAACTATAACATGCTAAAGAAAGATAATAAAGAAGACCTTAGAAGATGGAAAGAACTACCTTGATCTTGGATAGGCAGAATTAATATTGTCAAAATGACCATACTACCAAAAGCACTATACAGATTTAATGAAACCCCAATCAAAATCCCAATGGAATTCTTTATAGAAATAGAAAAAGCGAGCATGAAATTCATCTGGAAAAAATAAGAGACCCAGAATAGCCAAAGCAATCCTTCGCAAGAAGAGTGAAGCTGGTGGCATTACTATTCCAGACCTAAAACTATACTACAGAGCAAAAGTAATAAAAACAGCATGGTATTGGACCAAAATAGACCTGTAGACCAATGGTAGAGAATAGAGGACACAGAGTGTAGCCCACATAACTTCAATTATCTCATATTAGACAAAAGTGCCAAAAACATACATTGGAGAAAAGATAGCCTCTTCAAAAAAATGGTGCTGGGAAAACTGGAAATCCACATGTTTTTTCTACATCATTCTAGGGAATATCTCCCCAGCCTCTCTGAGGACTCCTCTTTTTTTCTGTATAACTCCTAATATTACTGAGTTTCTTTCTCAATGATCTCTTTTCATCCTGTCTATTCTCACTCATTAATCTCTAACTAGTTAGTTTTTTTTTTACTAACTCTAAGTCATTTATCCAAATTCCTATGTGTCTTACCTAGGTCTGTTATTCTTTCTCCTAAATATTTCCTTCCCATTCTTTTTATTTCCACTATTATTGTTTTTAACTAAGCCCAGTCATCACTTGTCTAGAACATTACAGTAATCTTGTAACTCTTTTCCTTAACTATCTTGCCTTCCAATCTACCACCTACTGATATAAACCTTGCCTCATAATTCAATTTTCCCACTACAACAAGCATTCTCTCTCTTTTCTCCTTCTCCTCCTTTTATTTATTTATTTATTTATTTTTTGCAAAACTTCATCCCCAGCCCTCAAGGTTACCTTCTAAAAAAAAGTTAAACGATTTAGTTACCATATACCTATAATTTCTTGTGAGTCCCCAGTGTTTTGGACACAAATTTACACACTTCTTAAAATGAAACAGATAGCTCTTACATTATGAGCTAATTGCTGCCTATTTTTCAAGCTAATTTCCACTGATCTATCTATCATTGTGATGGCTTTAAGGATATTGATTATGTGCTCAGTCTGGTCGGAATCCATGGCACCAAAAGAACACTTGGCACAAAGCAGATACTTTAAACTTGTTATTTATATTCAAAATTATAAAACTCAGAAAATCAAAATGAACATGATGCTGCAATCAGTCCTTCTCAGTGTGTCCCAATGCACTTCCTTCATAGGTGCACATGTCAAGCTTCTGCCATGGCTGAAGCTTGTGCTATTAAATTTTCACCCAAGGAACCACTATCTTTGCAAACTTCCCCAAACTGAATATGGTGATCACAAATGAGATATTATATGTGTGTTTCTGCGATTCTGGGGACTCTACCAGGAAATCTTATCAAAGACCAACTTGACTGTTCTCTAAGTATCTGGAAGATAAATGACTCATTAGGTCCCTCCTCTTCCATCCATACCCTTTCTTCTTTTCCAAGTGTCCAATGCTCTCTTCTAGGCTCTCAAATACCCAGTCCTTCTCCCTAAACACTCATTTTCTAACATTTTTACTCACTTACCTCACAAACAATTCTGCAAAACCAATTAGTCCCTCACATGTTTTTAAGTTGATATGCATTGTTTATCATAACTTTAAATAGTTGTAGAAGACCTTTAAGAAACAAAACTTTAACATATTCTAAATGTGCTCAATGAAAATGATATATCCCAGTGATTTGAAGCTCCCTATCATCCATTTAAAAACACATGTGCAAGTTCTTCAACAATAGGAAATTTTACATTATTCCTTTATCTCCTTAAAATTCTGTTTTCATTTCACTTTCTCCATAAAATTTTCTCCTAATATAAAATAGTTTATATGCCTCAAAGTTTGGATTGCATTTTTTTTTTTCTTTTTGGTACTAGAGATTGAACTAAGGGACACTTGACCACTGAGTCACATCCCCAGCCCTATTTTGTATTTTATTTAGAGACAGGGTCTCACTGAGTTGCTTAGCACCTCACTTTTGCTGGAGGTGGCTTTGAACGAGAGATCCTCTTGCCTCAGCCTCCTGAGCCGCTGGAATTACAGCCATGAGCCACCGTGCCTGGCTTGAATGCATTTTTAATATAATGAAAATATGTGTATGTTGAAACTATTTTTGCTTCTTTTGACATTAGACAATAATTATTAAGTTTTTTAAGATAAGTTATACCAATAATACTCATTCAGAATAATTATTCATTCAGAAAGACAAAATTATATAGTTTGATTAGTATTAAACAGAAAAAAAGTTTTATTTAAAATGCATTTTTCAGTGAGATGTATGGGGATTTTAAAAATTAGTTCATGGATGAATTTTATTTACAGTTAGAATAAAACAGTATTTCACAAAAATGAAACTCTGTTTAGAAATAGAAAGAGTTTTGTTATACAATGCTTTTTAGTTATGTGAACTTTTTCCATGGGCATTTATTAAGAATTATGTAGTCCTCTCTCACAAACAGTTTTGTAAAGTGATCTATCTTCTAACTACTCAGTTCTTTCATTCTGTTTTTTGGGGAGGCAGAGCTGGAAACCATGCAACTTGCCTGAGGTTTTCTTACCTAGTTATTAAAGTCCTTCACTCTCTCAGATTCTGGGAAGTACACCAAAGGCTTTACCAAAATGTTTCAAATTACCATTAAAGAAATCTATTCCTCTTCCATTCACATAAACTTCTTCAACCCAGAAGACTCAGAAAGGATTAAGAAAGTTTAAATATCATTGCCTTCAAAAACTTTTCCAATAAAATGCACTTTTTAAAATATTTTTTAAGTTGTTGGACATGATACCTTTATCTATTTATTATTATGTGGTGCTGAGGATCAAACCCTGTGCTCGCCCATGCTAGATGAGGCTCTACCGCTGAGCCCCAACCCCAGCCCCCAATAAAATGTATTTTGATAAATAATTTAAAATTTTCTCTTGTATTTTTGATTTGTTTTTGTTTTTTGGTCAAAACTTGGACTTTAGATTGTTTCATGGAAGGACAGTGCCCACCATATAACCCAGTTAAACCATCCTCACTATCAAACCAGTCAGCCTCACCAGATTTTCTATCAGAAAAATTCTAACTTCATTTTTGGTGTAAATAAACCAGGTAATGCGTGTGTCTCTGTGACATCAAGCTCACTTCTGCAGTCTGATTCTGAGATGCAGCACAGAAATGCAGTCTTAATAAGATTTTGTCCTTTAATAATAAATTTAAACAATGTCACATTCATTGTTTCTTACTGATCTTCTATTTTCTTGTAGCTCAAAGGACTCTCCATTCTGATTTAGTCCAAATAAGGAGCTTTTTGCTCTTTGATTAAGAGAAGGAACTTTCTGTAGTAATACAACTCCCAGCATACCTTTCAACAGAGTAATTCCTAAAGGGGTGTGTCTTGTGACAAAACTGCCGGGTGTTGAATTACACAACCGTGTTCTGAGACAGTGACAGCATTTGTTTTCTTTCAGATTCCAACTTCCTGAAACCAAGGCTGTTTATGAGAAACAGTATATTTCGGAGACGTTGTACTGGAATTAATTCTTTCCAGAGTCAGATTTGCTGGATCTTAAAGTGTTTTTCCTCTTCTTCGAGATAAAAGTGAGTATCAGCCTTCAAATGAGTAATTGCAGTAGATGTTGTTTATAAAGGATGGCATTATGTGTAGGAAGTACTTCCTCAAATTGTAAATTACTGTATACTTGCTGACCCTATTCATTAACATATCTTGTTTACATTTAAATGACTTTGGTACTCTAAGAACATCTACACTTCTGAAAATTCCTCAGAAGTGGGTGAATGGAGGGATGGGATGGAGGAGGGGTGAGGGGAGGTGGGGAAGGGCTACTTACCTACAGTGATAAACTTCAGTATTGTGAAGAGGAGAAAATGAGTAAGTTTTTTTTTTTTTTTTTAAATAAGGCTTAATAATAAGGTGCTTACCTCACAGAGCTTGTTAGACCTGCTAATGAACATCTGACCTTATTTGTCACTGAATCAAGATGTTTGATTAAAGCTTTAAAGAATTGTTGAGATTACTTAGTTTAAAAACCAACCTTGGTACTTTTGCTTAACTACATAAGAAGTAACCTTAGAAACAACTTCTTTTTTGATGGAATCAATAACTTTGCTAAGAAGCATGTAGATAAAAGTTACTCTTGACACATGGGAAGAACTGGCAGGAATTCTGGATGTGGGCAAGCATTACGTAGTGAGAATGAAAATCTAAATTCCTTCCTGTGTCTAGTTAGAAGAATCCTTTCATTGAAGAATTTTATCATTTGCCAGGTCTGGTGGCCCCTGTAATCAGGAGGCTGAGGCAGGAGGATCATGAATTCAAAGCCAGCCTCAGCAAGAGCGAGGTGCTAAGCAGCTCAGTGAAACCCTGTTTCTAAATAAAATACAATAAAAGTGGGTAGGGATGTGACTCAGTGGTCAAGTGCCCCTGAGTTCAATCCAAGATACTCACCCCTCCAAAAAAAATTTAGAATTTGAATGGAGGACTCTAGCTTACTTTGGAAAGCCACAAATTAAAACCTTTAATATTATTTGAGATTTTCAGAAGGCTTATGGCAGAAGCAGGACCAGAAAACAGAGGACTTTATGACACAACCTAATGGAATCTCTATTTCTAATATTTGCTTTTATCTCCCTCTCGGTTTTTGTTTTGTATTTTTACTTAGCGTCTCTAACATTTTTACATATCGACTTTGGGTTGGGTGATATCTCATCTTTAAGAACACTTTAAATTTCTCTTATGTATTCGCTGTCACTGTCCAAGCATATACATATACATATACATATATACATATACATCATCTCCCCAAACATGATGGAGAGAGCAAGTGTAACTGTGCCACAGATCCCAGAGGCCTCCAAGTCCGGGTGGTGTGCCACGGATTTCATGTCTGTAAGGTGTATATACTTTCTCATGGGGGTGGATGTCAGCAAAATTACCTCCTGGGGGACAGTCCAGAAATGAACAAATGCCAAGTCAAGTCATTATGTCTGCTGAACCAACAATTAACTTCTCTCATCTCCTTCCCAACTCTGTCAACCTCCAGCCTGGAAAGGAGCAAAATACTTAAAATTATTCTAAAAATAACTTCCTCCCCACTTTAAAGATCATATGAATCTGAGATGGATCTAAAGTTCTTCCCCCCATAAGACACCAAAATGTTACAGCATCCCTACCTGCACAAGAAGGAAGCCAATAATTAATTTACATTTAAAAAATGTATTTAAAATTATTTTTTCAAAAACTCATGTAAATAAAATGACAGATGTTATAAAATCTTACATATGATAATACTGAGTGGTGAGCATGGCTGATCTGTTAATCTGGAATGGTACTTCTCCTATAGGATCTAGTTTGGGGTTTCAAACCTGGAATTTTCCTTAAGAATACATGTGTGTGTGTGTCAAGATATTTCTGAATTCCATGACTCCTACCATTCTAAAGAATTTTACAGATCCCTTTCCCCTGAACACACACATATCCTGCCTTTTCTGTCCCTTAATTTTTCAATAGAATGATGTTTGGGGGCATAAGCTGTTCTTTGTAAAGAGTTTTTCTTCTTGAAATTTTAAGCACCTAGAGGCTGAATAATTTACAGGAACTTGCATTCACATTTCTGGTACAAATACAGTCCCTATGCTTGTTATTGTCATTGACACCTCTCTAATCAGGGGAGTCTTTGTTTCTTGATATTAACTGTGACATCTTGGATGTTGCTATTTGCTTTATTTATAGTGTGTTAAGGATAAACAAACTTAAAAACAAGACTGTTAGCTGGTGCTATCATTCTGTGTCTGAAAAACAGAAAGAGATGATTATAGCCTAAATAGCAGATAGATACAAATACAGTTTCTCTAAAGTATGACATACCTACTACTAACTATAGGTGACATTTTTTAACCATTAAAAATTTGAATTACACATTTAGTTTGATGTGAGCAAAAATTATAATTACTTCATAAAAACTCTGATTTTATAGATATTATTGGAAGACACTAAATAAAAAAAACTGAGATGATTTACTATTGATTTAAGAAACAAATAATACTACAAGTAACATTCAGATACAGCAAAAACAGTGACACCCAAATGTAGCTATGTTGCCCTAATGCATTTGAGACGTGGATATTTTCTAAACCAGTGCAGTGTCTCTGAATTTCACTGGTCTTGGGTTACATCGACCAGTTGATAATATCACCTGTCAAATTTCCTAGTTACAGATGTAGAATATATTTGATGAATAAAGAAGTACTACAAAGTGGCTGGGGTTGTAGCTCAGTGGTGGAGTGCTTGTCTCTCACATGTGAGGCACTGGGTTTGATACTCAGCACTACATAAAAATGAAAATATTGTGTCCATCTACAACTAAAAAAAATTTAAAAAAAGAAATGCTACACATTTCATTTTGAATTATTATAAAACTGGTGGAATGCAGAAGGTGGCCAATATTTTTTGAAATAGAATCACAAAAATGGTGAATTGTCCCAGAATGAGAGCTATGGCTCCCTTCTGTTGGTCTGATTAAGACACACAAAGACCTCTACATTGAGGGATGGGGAACTCCAACATCATCTGGGTCAAGCACCATTGATGTATCTTATGCCAAAGGTCATTGAGAAAATGGTCGTGTCCAGTAATTCTATTTCTGGGAATCCATTCTTGGAAGGAAATAGTTCTAAGTAGGGAAAAAATTCACACAGGTATTCATCACAAAGGTATTTATAATAACCAAGAAATTCAAGCATTCTAACAAAGGGGAAAGTTTAAACAAATTATAGTCTACCTGTAAACCATGCTGGAATGAAGGATAGTAGTATCAGCACAGGAAATGTTGAGTGAAAAATTGATTAAATATCAACTATTATAATTAAAACTTTTAAATACATGCATAAAGTGGCACAGATAAAAATTCAGAAATTTATATGGTTGTTGTAGTGACAGATAATTGTTTTTCTTCCTGTCTCTATTTCTCTGAATACACTATGATTAAAAAAACTTTTGGGGCTGGGGATGTGGCTCAAGTGGTAATGTGCTCGCCTGGCATGCGCAGGGCACTGGGTTCGACCCTCAGCACCACATAAAAAATAAAATAAAATAAAGATGTTGTGTCCACTGAAAACTAAAAAATAATAAATATTTAAAAATTCTCTCTCTTTCTCTCTCTCTCTCTTAAAAAAACTTTCATTGGATTTTTAAAAAATGCTTGATGCATTTCATCTTCTATGTAAGGTTATTGGGCATATATAATTTTTTTAAAAAAATTTTATTTGTTCTTTTTAGTTATACATGACAGTAGAATGTATTTGGACATATTATACATACATGGAGTACAACTTCCCATTCTTGTGATTGCACATAATGTGGAGTTACACTGGTCATGTATTCATATAGGAATATAGAAAAGTTATGTCTGATTCATTCTACTGTCATTCCTATTCCCATCCTTTTCCCTCCCCTACATTCCCCTTTATCTAATCTAATGCACTTCTATTCTCCCCTCTCCCATTATTGTGTGTTAGTATCCACATATTTGGATTTTTGGAATTGGGTTATTTCACCTAGCATGATAGTCTCCAGTTCCATCCATTTACTGGTAAATTTCATTCTTCTTTATGACTTAATAATATTCTTTTGTGTATATATACCACAGTTTCTTTATCCATTCATCTGTTGAAGGGCACTTAGGTTGGTTCCATAGCTTAGCTATTGTGATTTTAGCTGCTATAAACATTGATGTGGCCATGTCAGTATAGTATGCTGATTTTAAGTTCTTTAGGTTTATGCCAAGGAGTGGGATAACTGGGTCAAATGGTGGTTCTAAGTTTTCTGAGGAATCTCCAGACTACTTTCCAATAATAGTTGTACCGATTTGCAGTCCTACCAATGTATAAGTGTGCCTTTCCCCCCCACATCCTCACCAATATTTATTGTTACTTGTATTATTGACAGTTGCCATTCTGACTAGAGTGAGATGAAATCTCAGTGTAGTCTTAATTTGAATTTCTCTAATTGCTAGAGATGTTGAACATTTTTTAAACGTATTTGTTGATTGATCATACTTCCTCTCTGTGAAGTTTTTGTTTAGTTCCTTAGCCCAGTTTTTATTGGGTTATTTGGTTTTTTTGTGTTAAGTTTTTTAATTTTTTAATTCTTTTTATATCCTGGAGATTAATACTCTGAGTTGTGGAGGGCAAAGATTTTCTTCCATTCTGCAGGTTCTCTCTTTGCATTCTTGATTGTTTCCTTTGCTGTGAAGCAGCTTTTTAGTTTGATACCATTACATTTATTGGATCTTTATTTTCATTCTTACACAGTAGGAATCCTGTTGAGGAATTAAGTTCCTAAGCCAACAGATGAACATTTGGTCCTATTTTTTCTTCTACTAGGCACAGGGTCCCTGATCTAAAGCCTAGGACCTTGATCCACTTAGAATAGAGTTTTGTTCAGGGTGAGAAATAGGGGTCTAATTTCAACTGGCTACATGAGATAACTGTATTGATGTGGGTTTATGTCTGTAAACATTGATCTTCATGTCTGTTTTGGTACCAATACCATGCAGTTTTTGTTACTATAGCTCTGTAGTATAATTTAAGTTCTGGTATCTTGATGTTTCCTGCTTTACTTTTCTTGCTGAGGATTACTTTGGCTATTCTGAGCTTATTTTTCCAAATGAATATTATGACTGCTTTTTCTGTTTCTGTGGAAAAAAATCATCAGAATTTTATATATATTACTCTTTTGAAAAAGCTAGTAGAATGCATTAAGTAAAACTAAATATATATAAGTAAAACTAAAATATATATAATATATATATATTTATATATATATAAAATATATATAATATATATTATATATATATAAATATATATATATTATATATATATAATTAAAATATAAAAATCCATTGTAAGGAGATACACCATGGATTTTCAAGATGGTGGAAAGAGAAGGTGGCTTTCCTGGCTATTCCATGGCATGAAATCAAGCAAGCAGATATGCACTTCTGAGCAAGGTAGGTGAAAAAAAAAAAGAGTGTGTATGGGGGGTACTTTACTGGAATTTAATACTGAACATTCAAAACAGATTCGGGACTCAGGAAATTGGATATAATAAAATAAGAAATTTCCAAAAGCACAAGAAATAAAATCAAGAATCAATAAATGGAATAGATTCAAACTAAAAAGCTTCTTCTCAGCATAGGAAACAATCAATAATGTGAAGAGAGAACCTACAGATTGGGAGAAAATCCTTAACACATGCACATCTGGTAAAGCTCTAATTTCCAGGATGCAGAAAGAATTCAAAAAATTTAACCCCCCCCCCCAAAAAAAACCCAAATAACCCAATCACTAAATGGGCTAAGGAACCAAACAGACACTTTTCAGAAGAAGGTATACAATTGATCAACAAATATATGAAAAATGTTCAACATCTCTAGTACTTAGAGAAATGCAAATCAAAAAATACTCTTAAGATTTCATCTCCTTCCAGTCAGAATGGCAGTTATCAAGAACGTAAGCATTACCGTAGGTACATGTATGATTGCATAAATGGTGTATACATTGTATACAACCAGAGAAATGAAAAGTTGTGCTCCATTTGTGTACAATTAATCAAAATGCATTCAGCTGTCATGTATAACTAATTAGAACAAAAACATAATAAAATGGTCATATTTAAAAATAAATAATAAGTGTTGGTGAAGATTTTGGAGAAAAGGTACACTTGTACATTGCTGGTGGCACTGGAGATTGGTGCAAACACTCTGGAAAGCTGTATGGAGATTCCTTAGAATACTTGGAATGGAACCACCAATTGACCCAGCTATCCCACTTCTCGTCTATACCCAAAGGACTTAAAATCTTCATACTACAGTGACACAGCCATATCAATGTTTATATCAGCCCAATTTGCAGTAGCTAAATTGTATAACCAACCTAAAGGCCCTTCAATAGATGAATGGATAAAAAAAAAAAAACTGTGGTACATATACACAATGGAATATTATTCAGCATTAAAAGAGAATAAAATCATGGCATTTGCAGGTCAATGGACAGAGTGGAGAATATCATGCTAAATTAATCCCAAAAAACCAAAGACTAAATGTGTTGTTGGTAAGTGGAGGCTGATTCGTAATGGACGGGTGGAATGGGAAAAATGGAGAAATTTGTATTGAGCAAAGGGGAGGGAGGGGAAGAAGGAGCATGGGGGTAAGAAAGATGGCGGAATGAGACTCACTTCATTACCCTAGGTACATGTATGATTGCACGAGTGGTGTGTACGTCCTGTACAACCAGAGAAATGAAAAGTTGTGCTCCATTTGTGTACAATGAATCAAAATACATTCGGCTGTCATGTATAACTAATTAGAACACAAAAACAATAAAAAGGTCTATTTAAAAATTTAAAAAAAAAGAAAGAAAGAATAAAAGAAGTCCCACAGCTGCTGTTGCAGATGGAGGCACCTGCCAGAGTGGTCCCTCCATGAGCAAAGTGGAAGGATAGTAGAATTAAAGGAACCCACATTTTTAGGAGTCCTGAGGTGTGTTTGGATATGGAGAGTCTAGAGATCAAAGACATTGCCTGACTAAACTGAAAGGCACACTGCATAAAATCTTTATGCAGGAAAGAAGCCCAACTATCCCGACTGCATGCAGAGGACATTAGAAGGAAGCATTTTGCAGCTACAGTGAGGGGCTGGCAGCTGAGGGAGCTGAGTCCTGCAAAACCCAAGATTGCCCCAAAATATAGGCCTGGCAAACCCACACTGCATGGCATAGAATGCACCTAAGCAATCAGGATATAATCAAACATGGAAAGAGGTTTAAACAGGGGAAACTGGTTTTGGAAAGCCCCCCAGATCTCCCCTCCCCCTCCAATCCAGCTGCTTGCAGGACTGGCTGGGAGTGACACACCTGGCTGGGAATTTGAAAGGGGGTGGGAGAAACTGTTTTTAGAGACTGAGCCTGAGACAGGTGACATGGTGGACTAAGAATTGACTCCACCACCACATGAGTGGAACCTGGTGTGCAATTTTCCAGCATGCACGGGCAGTTGCTGGGTCCTGGAGTTGTGCTGATTTTATCTCTAGTTCAATTGGCATTCAGCAAAGAGCCTGGAGCCCACCTAAGCTTAAACCCCACCTCCAGGAGTTTTACCTAAGGGATTAGCTCTCCCACTCTAGCAACTTGACCCTGAGGGTGAAGCAAGCATCATACTCTAGTCAACCCCACCTAACTGCTGAGAAGGAAGCTGAGACTCTTTCGAACTCCGATAGGAACAATTCTTTAACTTTTCATCCAGATCCCCCCTTTTTTCTTTTTCTTTTTAATTGTAAAAAGGCTGGCCTTCCTTTTTTATTTTCTTTCTCAGCCCACTTCATACATTCCGAATCTGCTTTCCACCACTTTTATTTCTTATTCTTTCTTTTTTTTTTCCCCCACCACTTTTCTCTATTTCTGTATGATTACCTCATAAAACCATTGGGCTAAATTCCACCCAGATGCTCAGGCTGAACACATGGGGATCACCCTGGATCTCTCATTTCTTAACTTAATAATACCTAATGGATTTTGAAGTCACATTGATTCAATTCTCTAGATATCTTTTGACTCTACTCATACATGTCAGTTCTCACGAGGTTCAGGTCCTCAGCCTCTGATCTCAGCCCCTAGTCTGGGTTAGGGCTGTGTTCAGCAGTTTATATCACATCATCTTATTCAGATGCTTCTCATTTCTTCTGCACTTATTTTAATAGGCTTCACGATCTGCCAGCTGCATTTTCTCCAGCCATACCATTTACCTCTCTCCAATACTCCAGAAGAACCTGAACACCAGGGTGCTTGTTCTCAGACATGTCACACTCTTTATCACCAAATGCTTGGAAGACCATCTCTTTCTTATGTGACCTACTTTTTTTTTTTTTTTTAAGACCCAACTGATGAATTCTTTGGGGAAAACTTCATTTACATTACTGCTCTCTACCAGAGTGGATGGCCACTTCATCCTGTTCGGTTGGCATTTCTTGGGAATGATAGCTTTCCTTTACCCCAGAATATAATGAAGTGATTTGTGATAATTTCTTCTTTGTCCTTGTACACACTTAATTCTCTTTGAGGACCAGGTTATAACTTTTATCTCAGAATCCCTAATTCATGAAACATTGTAGATGGCCAATATGGATTTCTTAAATAAAATTTCATCAATCTCTATTGTTCTGCCCAGTTTATTTATTTTTTTTAAATGAGACTTAGCTGAAGCTCTCTAGCTCACAAAGGAAGACATTTCCCCTAAGGATTAAGTAAAAACAAAAACTCATAAATTCATCAACCCAGCACTTAAAGAGCTGCATGGAAGTCTAGCAGGGAAAGGTAACTTGCACAAATTCATAGAGCTGATGTGACAGAGTCAGGGTTAGAATCCAGGTCACCAACTATGCCATGAGTAGAAAGAACCTGGGAGCAAGAAGTTGGGATCCAATAGGAAGTGATTAGTCACAAAGCAGAGAGAATTCCTGAGCAGCCAGCATCTATCTAAGGTAACAAGTCAAGGAAGTGCCTGCCTCTCCAATGATACTCCATCTGTTCACCTGTGCTGAATAATAACAGCTAATATTACAGTCCCCCCTTATCCATAGGAAATACATTAAAATACCTTCAATGGATACCTGAAATTGTAACCAATACAAAACTCTATGTATTGTATGCTTTTTCCTATATATACATACCTATGACAAAGCTTAATTTATAAGTTAGTCACAGTAAGAACTAACAATAGCTGACAATAAATAAAACAATTTTAAAAATATACTTTTGTGTGTGTGGTACTGGGGATTGAGTCCAGGGCTTTGTGCATGATAGGCACATGCTCTACCACTGAGCTACAGCCCCAGGCCTTTTTGTTTTAATTTGAGCCAAGTTCTCATTAAGTTGTTCAGGATGGCCTTGAACTTGCAATCTTCCTGCCTCGGCCTCCAGAGTAGCTGGAAGTACAGGTGTGCATCATGATACCCAGCTTACAATATACTTTTATAAAAATTATGTAAATATGATCTCTCTCAAAATATCTTACTTTATTGTATTCACTCTTCTTCTAATGATGATATGAGATTGTATAATGCCTGTGTGGTGAGATAAAGTGAGATGAATGATATAGGCATTGAGGTATAGTGTTGGGCTACTACATAAGGGTTATTTGAACACTAGCACTGATGTCCTGAGGGTTGATCTGATAACCTAGATGTCTACTAAGTGACTAGCAAGTGGGTAGTATATACAGCATGGATATGCTGGACAAAGGGATGATTCAATATCCTAGGCAGGACAGAATAGGATAGATGAGATTTTATTACACTACACAGAACAGCATGCAATTTGAGTCTCTGAACTTCTGGAATTTTCCATTTAATATTTTTGAACCACAGTTGACTATAGGTAACTGATGTTGTATAAAGTTAGAACTGTGGATAAGGGGGACTACTGTAATAGTAAACAGCATTTATTATTCATTAATAAACATTAGTGGAGCAGGTTCTATGGGTCAGCCTTTCTGCTACAAGTCGTACATGCTTCATCTTGCTTAATGTTCACTACTGTTCTATGAGTCAGGTACTATTATTAGCGTTTACTCAATAAAGGAAAGTGATTATTATTTCTCCCTCCTTGCTCTGTTAGGCTATTGGTATGCTCCACCTCCTCCATCTCTAATACCAGCCACTTATCAGAACTATGCAATTGCCTGTTGGCATCTCCTTTGAGATGACCTGCTAACCAGAACAGAATTTCCCTAGTACCTGCAGATTGTCTGCCCTGCAAAGTGCCTTACTGACTTGAGCAGCTAGCTCCAGACCTCATCCTGGCCTTATCTACTCTCCTCCATCCTGCCATCAATCACATGTTGCTGCACTCTACCTAGATATGAGGGATTGTTTCCTGACTTTGATAAAGGCTAGCACTCACTGATGATGGTTTACTGTGGGAGTCAGTCATTTGTGTAAGGGAAGGTGGGAGACAGGCACAGTACAGAGATGTCCAGTTCTAAAACAAGATTGAAAGAAAAACAGAAGTTAGTACATGCAGAAGTCATCTTTGAGTTAACCATAGAACATGAGTGATAGAGGATGCACCACCAAAATGATCACAATGCCACCAGTCTTGCTAAATCATTTCTGGATACACCTAGGCATCTCAACTTAAAGGCAAAAACCAGACTGCTCAATTATTATCAGACAAAGATTATTTCATTAAACTTTAAAAGCTTTCACTTTATAAAACTTCATTATGAAGAAAAACAAAGACATAATTTTTTTTAGAGAGAGGGAGAGAGAGAGAGAGAATTTTAATATTTATTTTTTAGTATTTGGCGGACACAACATCTTTGTTTGTATGTGGTGCTGAGGACCGAACCCGGGCCGCACGCAAGCCAGGCGAGCGCGCTACTGCTTGAGCCACATCCCCAGCCCAAAGGCATAAAAATTTTGTGATATTTATTTCTTAGTGGACCGTAAAGAGTTCTTACTCTCTTTTTTTATCTAATTTTTGTCTGCAAGTTTTCTATAATAATATTTTTATAATATAATAATACAATGTTTTAAAAATATAGATTTAAAAATATGCATGTGTGTGTATGTGTGTGTGTATATATCACACAAAGAATCTTTATGACTTTTTTTTTTTTGGTGCCAGGAATTTAACCCAGGGACACTTAACCACTGAGACATATCCCCATCCTTTTTATTTTTTTAATGTATTTAATTATTCTAATTTGTTATACATAACAGCAGAGTACATTTCAATTCATAGTACACATAATTTTTCATGTCTCTGATTGTACACAAAGTAGATTCACATCATTCATGTCTTCATACATGTAGTAGGGTAATGATGTTCATCTCATTCCACCATCTTTCCTACCCCCATTCCCTCTCCCTTCTCCTCCCTCTGCTTTGCCCTATCTAAAGTTCCTCCATTCCTCCCATGCTCCCCCCCACACCCCCATTATGGATCAGCATCCACATTCAGCCTTTGGTTTTTTGGGATTGCTTACTTTACTTCACATGATATTCTCCAACTCTGTCCATTGACCTACAAATGCCAAGATTTTATTCTCTTTTAATGCTGAGTAATATTCCATTGTGGGTATATGCCACAGTTTCTTTTTCCATTTATCTATTGAAGGGCACAATTTAGCTATTGTGAATTGTGCTGCTATAAACATTGATGTGGCTGTGTCCCTGTGTACCTGTATGCTGTTTTTCAGTCCTTTAAGTATAAACTGAGGAGTGGGATAGCTGGGTCAAATGGTGGTTCCATTCCAAGTTTTCCAAGGAATCACCATACTGCTTTCCATAGTGGTTATACCAATTTGCAGTCCCACCAGCAATATATTAGTGTGCCCTTTTCCCCACAGCCTCACCAATACTTATTGTTGTTTGTATTCTTGATAGCTGCCATTCTGACTGGAGTGAAATGAAATCTTGGAGTAGTTTTGATTTTCATTTCTCTAATTGATAGACATGTTGAACATTTTTTCATATATTTGTTGATTTATTCCATTCCTTTTTATTTTTTATTTTGAGACAGGGTTTCACTAAATTGCTTAGGACCTTGCTAAGTTGCTGAAGCTAGCTTTGAACTTGCAATCCTCTTGCCTAAGCCTCACTAGCCCTTTCATGTTTGAAATGCTTCTTTTTAACCCTTTTCAGGAGCCTGGAAGCATTTGGTTGTCTGGCAATGCCTTTCTCTTTCTTGCAAGCCAGTAGCCAGAGTATATGTAAAAGGAAATTGCACTTAAAAAAACAACAAAAAAACAAGCATTAGTTATTGTGCCACAGACAGACAGCAGAAATTCCACAGTGTCTCAACAGAGCCATTTCCCCTAAATCACAGCTGACAGAGGAAATGACTTTCTGGTCTGCAAATGCAGGTGCAGGAAGTAAAAGCTGAGTGCATGAACCAGCCCAGGCCAAGTTCCTTCCACAAGGTGCATCCCTTCAGGTTGTCCCATCTGCTCCTTCTCAGCAAATTCACAGCTCATCCAAGGGCTGACCTTTTATTGCACTGTGCAGGGAAGGTGGAGTCAGTAATTGAGACCAATCAGGATTTTAATCGGGGTGTGTTGGGAATGTAATGTTTATTTGGTGATCAAAGTGCAGATACCAAGCTAGAGTTGAAAATATGTCTCTGAAATTCAAAAGAGTTTGGGGAACGATAATGGTCAATGAATATGTGGTATTTAAAACCATTAATTGAATGAAAGGAGTGAGTGTAGAGGAAGAAGGAAAGAGAACTTGAGACAGAACTTTTGCATATTCTAACAGTAAGGAGTTCTAGAAGAGAAGAACAGCCAAAAAGGGTAAGAAGGGGTGATCTGTGATAGGAAAACCAATAGAGTATTGTGTCCTGGGATAAAAGAGAGAAGGGAGGGCTAGGTGCTGTTGGTAGGTCCTCCCCATGAGTGCTGTCTGCTGGGTTTGTCCATCTTTGGTAAGGGCAACCTCAGTGGAGTCATGGGGCAAAACTCTTAAGCTTGTTAAGAGGAAATGAGAAGACACAGTTCAAAGTTTGAGTAGAAACAATTTTCTCAGAAATATTGCTAAGAAAGGGCAATCACTGCTGATGACAGTGAATTCAAGAGAATTTCTTCTGAGATAGAAGAAAGACTGTCATGTTTATAAATAGGATTGAGCCAAGGGAGAGCAAAAAACTTAATGAAGGAAGAGATTTGAAAGAGGAGGGAGAAAGGCTGACGCAATATTCTCAAGTAGACAAGAGGTGGAATTACTGCAAGAATGGAGTGCTTGGTTTTAGATGACTTGTGCAGTTCAGCTCTGGTATCAGATGACAAGGCACAGTATGGGGTGCAGCTGCTGTTAGATTGAGAATGGTGAGTGAGAATGTGTGGAAGTCCTCTTCTGACTGCTGAGGATGGGAGTACAGGAGGAAGGGAGAGAAAATGCAAATACTTCACATGAGTGGGAGGTGAACGGAAGTGCCCTGTGATTGCCTGGGAGCACTAATAGCACATGAATGGTGGAGGTTCAAGTTCAGGAATTGAAAGTGAAGTCTGGGAAATATGGTTATTTCCACCTGCCCGCCCCCCCCCCCGCCCCCGGCCTTCCCCTGGCCCAATATTTTTATCTGTGCCAAATCTAGATTTAACGAGACTAGTGATTTTGCTAAACAAGTACCACAAATGAAATCCAGGCTTTCGAAGACTAAAGGGGGGAATTTGAGAATATGGAGGAGTGAACATTGTTTGTAGTCACAGCTCAGCGTGTATGATCAAGGGAGTGAGTGGCATGGGGTGAAAGATGCATCTTGGAAGAAAGCATTTATAAAAACAATGTTTTGGATCACTGCATGGTTATTGAATCTCCAAGAACAGGGTGGGATGCGAGTGAGAGTTTTAGCAGTGACACAGAAGCTAAATAATGCCCTGAGAGTTGGCCCTTGACAGCAACCATGAGGGGCAGAGGGTAACATAATCTGGTGATATGAGTTTCAAAAGTGGGGAGAGGGGAGTGTGGATTAAACAAGAAGGTGAAAGCAAGGTCCAGAGTGGCCATGAAGACCAGGAGACTGCTCACCCAGGGGCTGGAGGAGACTAAGCTGCCTCTTGCAAGGGCTGCAGAGAGGCTATAAATGTAATCATTGTGAAAGTAATGTGATCAAGTAAATTCAGTGAAAATAAATAATTTTTTGTATAAATATCATACATGATTCCCTATATCTGGTGAGCCCAAGAGTAATAAATAGATTTTTTTTTAAGTCAGTGAGTGCAAGTCTCAGAACATGCAGAGTCAAGTCTCTTCATTCTCTGTATAACAAAATGATCAGATATTATCACCACTGATGGTTTGGATTTCTGGTGGTGAGATTTCTCTCCTACAGAATTGAACTGCTTCAAAAGTTGAAGGAGAGTTTTGGAACTGCTTCCTACTTAAGGGGGTGGCGGGGGAGACCAAAAAGCCTTTGATGTGACATTCCTCCTCCTTATATATCTGAAATAATGGATAGTGATGATACCAATTGCAACTTCACTCCTATTTGACCCAATTATGAGAAATATTGTCCTATTCATTCTCTTTTTATAAAAAGTCTTCTGTGTTTAATGGCTTTATCTTGATCAGGAACTTCTAAATAAGTAATGAATTGAAATCTAATGGCCACAAATTTTGGTAAGTTTTCATATAAGAATTTTGAACTGAGTTTTTTTTCTAATTATATAGTAATACATAGTCATTATGAGAAATATGAAAAGACAAGGAAATATTTTAAATACCTTTTATAGGAAAAGATGGTTAACATTTCATTGTATTTTTTTCTGGTTCTTCTTGAGTGATATTTTAAAATTATAGTAAGATAAACATAACATCAAATATACCATCTTAACCATATTTAAGTGTACAATTTGATGGTGTAAAGTACATTCAAATTATTGTGCTACTATCACTATCATCTATCCACAGAACCATTTATAACTTGCAAAATTGAAACTCTGTAATCATTAAACAATAACTTCCTATTTCTTTCTTCCCAGGGCCTCCGGGAATCACCATTCTACTTTCTGTGCCTATGAATTTGATTACTTTGGATCCCTCATGTAAGTAGAATCATAGAGTATTTTCCTTTTGTGACTAATTTCTTTCACTCAGCACAATGTTGTCTATATTAATCTATGTTATGTAGCAAGTGTCAGAATTTACTTCTTTTTGAGACTGAATAATATTCTATTGTATGTCTGTACCAATTTCATTTGTCTGTTCATCCATCAATGGAAGCATGAGTTACTTCCACCTTTAGGCTATTACAACCAATACTGTTGTGGACATGGTTATACAAATATCTCTTTGAGACCCTGCTTTCATTTCCTTGGGGTATATACTCAGAAATAAAATTGATGGATGCAATGATACTTCTGTTTTTATTTTTTAAGGGAAATTTCACACTGTTTTCCATAGCAGCTGCACCATTTTATTTTCTTTCCAAGAACATACAAGGGTTCCAATTTCTCCATATTCTCTTCCACACTTGTTATTTTCTGTTCATGATGGATGTGAGGTGGTATCTCATGGTGGTTTTGATTTGCAATTCTGCAGTGATTAATGACATGGAGGATCTTTCATGTTCTTATTAACTATTTTTCTATCTTCTTTGGAGAAATGTCTATTCAAGTCTTTTTTAAACTGAGTGGTTATTGTGTTGTTGAATAGTGGATGTTCTTCATGTATTCTGGGTATTAACTTCTTATCAGATATATGATTTGCAATTCTTCCCCATTCTACAGGTTTTTTTCTTTTCACTCTGTTGATAGTATTCTTTGATGCAAGAGGGCTTTAGTTTTGATGTGGACTATTTCTTTTCTTTTATTGTTGTATCCATGAAATCATTGCCACATGCAGCATCAATGAGTTTTAAAGTTTTAGCTCTTACATTTGAGCCATTGATCCATTTAAGTTATTTTATTTTATATGTTTTGAGGTAAGGGTCCAACTCCATTCTTTTTCATGTGGATATCCAGTTTTGCCAATGCCACATGATGAAAAACTGTTCCTATTGAATGGTTTTGGAAATCTTGTTAAAAATAATTTGAATATATATGAATATATATGTTTTATTACTATATCTTTGTGGTAAGTTTTGAAATCAGGAAGTGTAAGTCCTCCAATTTCCTTCTTCTTTTTAAAAATTGTTTTAGATATGCAGAGTCCCTTGAGATTGCATATGAATCCTATGATGGATTTTTCTAGCTCTGGAAAAAATGTCAGTAGTTTTTCATAATTTTTTACATAGTTGCTATTACACTATATGAACAATTTTATATTCTGCTTTTCTTACTTAACATTATTATATATTTAAACCGTTAAAAATAAACATTATTCCTTTTTATTCAAATACTTCATAAACATACTTTACAATCGACTATGTAAAGAGAAATGTACAAATGGAATAATAATGAAATAATAAAATAATGAAAGCTTTGCAAATATTTTGCCTCAAATCACATGATTTCTAAATACTTTAAATGCTATAATTACAAACATGAGAAGAATATGATTCAAGCCATCTCAGAATATGAGACTATAATATTTATAAGTAGGAAGGAATAACAAACAGTGGTACTACTTTAAAAGACTTCGTTAAAGTTTATACTTATATTACTTTTAACTAATTGTAACTCTAGAATGTGTTTATTTACTCAATGAATATTAACTGAATCTAAAGATTTTTGAAGCTCTGGGAATCTATATATAAATTATATAGGGTCATCACCTGCTGGGAAAGTGAATGAATACCAAAATGTAACAAAAGTCTGTGTCATGAACTTTTACTTTCTTATTTAGTCTTTGCATAAGTCCTATTGGGAAGTGGTATTAGCCACAATAGGGATGAGGAAATTAAAGTTCACTTCCAAAAAGCTGACCAAGTCATTAGAGGTGACACAGATAGTGAGTGGAAAGAATATAAGTTCAGGGTTGTCTGACTCCAAAGCTCATGCTGTTTTCACTCCTCCAGTTTGTTTTAGGCACTTATGATCTCATACACAGGGCAGAAGCATAAATAGCTCTCTGTATTGTGAACAAAATACTCTAATAGCAATTATTCTGCCTTATTTGAGTTAAAAAAAAGCTTTTGAGAATGTTTTAGTTAGCTTTTTTGTCACTGTGACCAAAAACCTGGAGGGAACAATTAAAGGAGGAAAAATTTATATGGGGCTCTTGATTTCAGAGTTCTCAGTCCATAAATGGCCAACTCTATAGTTCTGGGCCCACTGTGAGGCAGAACATTATGGCAGAAGTTCAGGAGTTTGGATTTGGTGGCAAAGAAAAGCCACTCAGAATATGGCAACAGCAAACAGAGAGTGTTCCGTTCACCAGGGTCAAAATATAAACCCAAAGGCATGGCCCCAGTGACCTGTCTCCTCCAGCCCCACCTTGCAGTTACCACCCAGTTGATCAATAACTGTGGATTAATCCACTCATGGTTCGAGGCTCTCATCACCCAATCATTTCACCTCTGAAAATTCTTTCTTTGTCTAACATATGAGCTTTTGGAGGATACCTGGTATCTAAACCATAACAGAGAAGCAGCATTATAACCTAAGACCTGAAAACAGGATTTCATTAGATAAAAATTGTAGAGAAGAACATTCATTCATTCATTCATTCATTGTCCATTAAGAAAAAACTTGCATTCAGTTTCTGCAGTATGCTAGACACACCATCAAATGCTGAGATACAGAAAAGAATGTTCAAAACACTGTGGAGACAGTTAAGTACCTGACTTATAACAGAGGCTGGTATCAAACTCTGGCACAGAGTTGAAAACTAATTGCCGGGGACACTCTTCCAGGGTACTAAGAGCAAGTTCACCATGGCAGAAGCTTCCTGGTGGCAGGTGGTGCTGAGCATAACAGATTGGACCCTCCATGTTGAGTTCAGGAATTTGGATTTCAGCCTCTGGACAGTCAGCCAGCAGCAATAAGTAGGGAAGTGACAGTCAGTTCTGGTATCTTAAGAAGCTATCTTAAGAAGCTATCAGGTAGCAAATAAAGGATAGAGTATGAGACCTGGCAAAGAGACAGGTAGCAGGAAGTTAAGAATCCAAACTGGAGACAGAGCTAGGCACTGTGGCATATGCCTGTATTCTCAACAGCTTGGAAATCTGAGACAGGGGGATAGCAAAGTTCAAAGCCAGCCTCAACAACTTGCTGAGGCCCTAAGCAACTTGGCAAGACCCTGTCTCAAAATTTAAAAAAAAAAAATTTAAAGGGCTTGGGATGTGACTCAGTGGTTGAATACCCCTGGGTTCAATCCCCAGCACCAAAACAAACAAACAAGAGCTAGAACATGGAAGAATCAGCAAGAAGAGGGACTGAGAGAGCAAAACCATATTTGCAAGGTAAAGTTGATCAGTTTTGTCATCTGTAGGATGTGTGCTGAGAACAATAGAGATAAGAGAACAGCATGAACAATGGCTTTGGATCTGTCCACATCTAAAAACACTGTATTATTATTTTGGAGCAAAAGATCCATAAAGCATTAAGTAAAATATAAGTCTATTTTGACTTATCAGTATTTTGTATAGTATATTTAGCCATTCTAAAATACTCTGAATAGTTTCACTGACAACACACACACACACACACACACACACACACAGTTTAAACATGCCCCACAATGACATTGACACTACCCATTTGGTTAGCAGGCTCTTTCTCCATAGAAAGTACAGTTATAGCTGGGTATGATGGCTCACACGTGTAATTCCAGCAACTTGGGAGGCCAAGATAGGAGGATCACAAATCAAAGGCCACCCTAGAGAGACTCTTGACAAGTTGGCAAGATCCTCTCTCAAAAAACAGAAAGGACTGGGGATATAGCTCAGTGGCAAAGCAACCTTGGGTTCAATTCCCAGTAATAACAACAACAAAATACATAATGACAAAATCAATTTTGTCATTACTACATTGAAGCATAGTTTTTGAGACAGTGGATTAGTGAATTTTTTCTAAGATGAAAGTCAAAAGGATTATTTTTACTGAAATTAAGCTCCAAAAAGATTACTGGTCAGGTAAATAATATGTTTTGCTATTTTCATACTTCATGAAGATTTCCATTCCTTCAGGGCTTTACTAAGTCTTGTAAATTATTTAGACCTGTTTTGCTCTGTAGAGTTCCTCGTTTGTTTTCTTTTTTATGTAATTTTTTTCCCATTGTTTTCATTAATAAGTAATATACATCTAGTTCAAGGTGTTATTGCTGGTAATGGTGCTAATGCGTGCCACCAGAAGAGGGCAGCAGTGAGGTGCTTAGAAGAAGAACTAATTTTTTGGCTTTGAAATTGCACACCAGCTTTAAGACCAAGAATGATGTGACAAACAAATTTAGTGCTGACATGGTAATTTACATCCAGAATTGACTTATTTTTTGGTCAGAAACTATCTCATAAACATTGCCACAGAATTTTAAGAAAATCTAATGATATGCTTATAATGCAAGAGGGTAATACATTTGTGGAAATTTTTCTGCTGTCATATATAAATTTAAAAAAAAATTTAAAAAGATCGATGAAGATTGACACAAAGAGATGTTCTGAAATTTTTACATTCGACTGAAGAGGAAAGATTGGAGATGCACTAAAATGAAGCATGTTGTTTCTTGTCACTTCAAGAGTGTAGGCTGATAATTTAATACTTTACATAGATAATCAAAATATCTTTAAATATATTTTATCTTTAAATATAATTATCTTTAAATATATCTTACTATCTCTAAAATGAAATGAAGTATCTTTAATTTGTCAATAGTAAGCAATGCATAGAATTTATCATCGAAGAGAAGTTTCCCAAATTCATCCTATATCTGCTATTATAAACATTTAACAACAATAAATATTTTTTGAGCACTAGTATATGCTAGAACTTATTCCAGGTACTGAGGCTATAGAAAAGAATCAGCTCATTCCCTGACCTCTTGGAGTTTATATTATAATAGAGAAGATAGACATTAAATCAAACTGTGTGATCATTGTACAGTTATAATCAAGAAAAACAAACAAAAAAGGAAAACAGTCTACCATAGGGACCCAAATAAAGGAGTC